AATAACAGTGAGATGGGGTAATAATTGCACAAAATAAAGCAGGACATTCAGTTCTTCCGTGAGCCGAAGGATGCCATTTGTACGTAACAAGACTGTTCTGTTGGTGTAAAGAGGGTATTGCAGCAATAAGAAACTCTTGTCTGGAATGAACTGAAGTGTAATTCTCCCCATGCCTTAGAGGAGGTGTATTATGTTGCCCATTGTAAAAAATCGTTGAAATTGTGATACCATTTGAATTACTGCCTGTAAGACCCACTGTTAACACTGGATTGTCCCAAGTACATCTGTTGTCTAACTGAATATGCCTCTGACTGCTTTTCGTTCTCATGTAGCAACAGAAATTTCCCCCCTAAAAAATCTGAATTTAGAAATGGGACAGACCCATCAGTATATTGATGGGCTATGGGCTGGACAGCCAGGGTTCAGTTCCCAACAGGTGCAAGATTGTTTTTGTGTTCCACATAATCCAGACTGGCTCAGGGGCCCACCCAGCCTATCCAATAGGTACTAGAGGCTCCTTCCCTTAGAGTTGCAGTGGTGTCACTCTCTCATATGTCTTCATGGCATGGTTCTTAATTAGTTTAGGCACAGGGATAACTTAATTTTACCTATGTAGAATTTGCCTAAAATTCTGTCCCAGGATGAAATGACTGAGGTGACTTGTACACTTTGTAGCTAGTGACTTCCAAGTAGAATGCTGCTGGACATTAAAGGTATATTGCAGAAAATGTTTTAACACTGAAGACTAACAGGAACATTCCAGCACTAGATCATATGGAATCATATATAGGAAAACTCATCCTCCAGCAGTTATCTTAAAATAGGACACTGAAGCAGTCCTAACACATTCAGGCAAGTGATCTGTAGGGTTGCAGGCATGTATCCAGAGTTGACCATAGACTGATGTGTTCACAGATGATGTCAATATTGGCAGGAGCCTGCAGCTGTGTGATCAGAGAGCATTAGATATCACATCCGAATATCCTCTACTATGCTTTGATGAAATAGAAGCTGCAGCCTATGGTGGACTCAAGAGAAGTTGAGCTTTGCAGTAATCTTAAAGGCTTCCTTATCTCCCATTCCCTAGGCGGCAGAATGGGATCAGGGGCAACATCCAAGCTAATAAGAGTGCTGTCTGAGGAATACGAAAAAAAAAGTACATTTTTTACATTTACCCATCCCCTCGGTTTCCTTATCCTTGTGCTGAAGCAGTTCAATCCATGCATGCTATTCGGATATATTCTGAGTGTGCCTACATGTTTGATAATGAAGCCATTGATGATATCTGGCAACATAACCTGCACACAGAACATCGAACCAATACAGGCTTCAACAGACTTAATTGCCCAGGCTGTGTCCTCCTAAACACTTTCTGACCGGTTTCATGTTGAAAGTGGTGTTCACCTGGCTTGATTACAGGATAACTTGATACATTTTCCAAGATTAAAATTCCCTCTTGTCTCCTATGCACCTCTCATCTCTGATGACAATGCCAGTGGCAGAGATTACAGATGTCTCCTTTGAGGCTGGCAGCCACATGATGATATGTAATCCAGATTTTGGACTGCCCGTCTTCTTGCATGCTGTACCGAGAAGATGTTTCACAGTTAGAGATGAATAATGCAATCAGTACAATTCTGGCTGATCCCACCAGAAGGTTTGCTATCTGTCCAACTGCATTCAAGGTTGGTAGGAATAACCAGGTAGTCACATGGCAAACATACCGCTGAACCGCCAGTTTCATTGCATACACTCTCACCATCTTGGCTATTATTAGTCGATGGAAATGAACTTGGCACTTTATTTATTGCATGTTCGTGATGATCTTTCTGTTTTGGAGAGGGAATACCAAGCAGGTGTAGGGAATTTTGTTTCATGGTATGAAGTAGAATGATTCTTCATTTTTTTTTGTACAGTATTAGAACTCATTACAGTATATTTGTGAACCTTTTGGTCTTTCTTATATTTGATCAACATTTGCATAAATATAATGTTTTTTTAAATAAGTATAATCTTTTGTTATTTCTACATTTGTTGGTACAAATGTAGGAGGAACAGAAAATTATATACAATTCCAAGAACGTTAAATTAAGCAAATGTTGGAACAAATCTAGGAATAACAGAAAATTCTATATACCGTATTTACGCATGTATAGGCCGCAGCACAATTTTCAGACAGAAATTATAGAAAAAATAATTTTCTTGGAATATTATTTCAGGAGTAGAACACCCTGTGTTACTAATTATGAATATATTTTTTTTTAAA